TTCAGAACAAGTAGTTCTGAGATAAGTTACACCTTGAAGTGTCATAACTAGAGCAATACCTAATATTAGCCTTTCCGCCTTTATTTCTGATGAATGAATGTTCTAAATATGACATATTTTGTACGTTCTTCCTCTCAAAGGAATAAGAAAACAGAGTACTATTAAACTCGTTGTTTGCTAAACGACAAGGTAAAAACTATATAGTTTTACGAATTAAAGCAATTATCTACAAAATGTTAAAAATAAACCGTTATTAGAAGAAAACAATTGACTATGCACATCATTGAAATAGTGCCTAATATAGAAAAATACAATCGTAACCAATAAAATAGCAGTCTTATCCTCATCGTTTCCGAAGCAATTGAATCAATACACAGCTAAAACAGAAATACATATACTGATACACAGAGATAAATAGTTCTGTGTAAAAGACCCAACCGAGTAGTAGCCACCAAATAATTTCATGGTTCATGTGCGCCAAATAAATGTCAGTATTATGGACTGATAAAAGCTGTAATGTGTGGGTGTCATTATTCTGAAAGACCATAATTTTGTGTTATTGCCGATTGAATAGATTACAACCTTTGTATGAGGATGGATGCGATATTTCACTTAATACACTAATATCAAGGAAATGTTTACCTACTTCTCATAAAATATTAGTCGCCAACATATGGGATTAGTATATTTTTTTATTATTTTTTTAAATTAAAACTATTTCTCTTTAGTATACTACTTAATATTTATACATTGAATTTCTTTATTAATGAGGAGCTGAGCTGAGCAATTATTCCTCGTATCACTGCGAGATTTTTAATATCATCATCATTATCATTATCATTACATAGTATAAAACAAAGTCGTTGTCGGTCTCTGTCCGTCCCTATGTATGCTTAAATCTTAAAACTACGCAACGGATTTCGAAACGGTTTTTTAATTAATCGAGTGATTGAAGAGGATGGTTTATATGTATAATACATGTACACCCGGGCGAAGCCGGGGGCAGTAGCTAGTAGATGATATAAAGATGTTGGGTAGGAAGTAGTTATTCCCTCTTCCGCCCTTCTCCAATAGAATAGTTGTGATTCTAGATTTGATTAATTGCAAAAGAAAAATAAATTTGAAAATGCAATAAACTAGTGGTTACGTTAATGTTCAATTTCGATTAAAAAAAATACGAAACTTGTCATTTAAGCATTAGGATCTAATCTGAATTCTCGATCACATTTATCTTTTATCTATTAAAAACGAAAAGAAAATGGTAAATACTTACATACACTAAATATAAATGGAAACAACAAATCTCCTCGGCATAATATTAAACAAGAATGTGTCGATGATAAATAATGTCTGAGTCTTTTGATATTCCTGAGAAATATTATAGACTCTTTTTCGCATATTTCAAAAGCATCCGATATTACGTCTTGGTGGAGCGTAAAACGTAAGGCAGAGATGCACCTCGCCCGGCCCAGTTGCAACGAGATAATATTGTACTTTCATTTGTGGCTAGTGCAAATACAGAATTACTTTGGCGTAAGATATAGGATTTTATATTTATACTATTAATATAATGAAATACTATTTTCGTTTTAGTTTTCTTAGCAAAGAAAGTTATACACAAAATACCAAAAAAATGAAATTTTATTGTGGCGACAAAAAATAATATAATTTAAATCTATACAAGAACAAGACGGAAATAAATTTCATCCTCACTGAACAAATGCTCAAAAATTCTTATTAAAAATGACTCCTTATTTTTTCTAAACAGTTGAAGAAGTAGGTAACATAACGACACAGTTTCTCTTACAGAGTTTATTTACAGAGCCTTTTATGAGTAAGATGCGCTGAAGTAATTCAATGAACAGTCGTAGACACGTTGGTAATATCTTAGGAGCAATAAAACTGCAACTCTGTAGTAAATTACTTTAACATCGCAACAGCTTGTATTCAAACGAGATGGTTAAGATCGGACAAGTGAATTATGTACTACTTATGGTCAAATCAATACCTTATTCTTTACAATTTCTAAATGTTCTTTCTAGATTTTACTAATGGGAAATCATGTCACGTCATGACGTACGCCTTCCTAGACTGTATTTTTTTTTACACATATTACTCTTCACCCAAAACACATCTTACATAGCTGCTTGATGACAAAAGTACGTACGTGTGACAGAAGTATCTTTTGAGATGACTTTGTAGAAAGTCTATCTCAGTAATGTAGAGTTCTAAAAAAAGGTAGGAATAATGACCTATGTGATGCATGTCTACTCTACTTAATAATAATCCATATCTTCTCTATTAGTATATTAATATAGATCCTAAATATTGTTAACTTAAATTAAGTTTAAATTAGCATTTTTCTTACTAGTTCTATATAAAAATAAATATCAAATGGAGCCCCGATAAACAACCAGATTAATCCAAGATTGACTTAATTCAAACGTCGCGTCGCGTCGCGTCGTATCGTGGAACCGTTCTCTGTTACGTGGGATTAAAATACGCTCAGAGAAATATAGACTTGTCAAGTATTACTTTCACAACGTCGATAGTTGATAACGGTGGAGAATATTTTTATCTCGTCCCTTGCAGATTTCAATCGGTGAGTAGAAAGTCTTGTAAACTGTGTTGTCTGGGTTTAATTCATGTACTCGAATGTCTTTCTTATTCACTTCTAAATTATCTGATATAATATACAAATAGGTATTATTAATAATTAGAAATATAATGTATCAGCGGCATTTCGATATACAGTAAGTTTAAATAAGAGATAAAAGTCTAGATTAAACTTGGTCAACATAACACAACACAACACAAAAATAAAGTATAGATATTTGGCAAATTAAACTTCTAGTTGGGTATAATAAACAAATCTTAAGTTCAGTTAAAAATTCAAAAGTCAAGTATCGATGTTTGGCAAATTAAACTTCTAGTTAATAAATAAAACAATAGTCAAGCATTTTATTTTAAGTTTTAACATTATTATGTTAAAACTGTGGGTCAGAGAACGGCTAAGCTTAAGTGGGATTAGATGGGTCACATCAGTCGCATAAATCCCAATAACTGGGCAAATATCTATATCCAGATTTAGAGCGTCGCTGACTCGACTGAGTAAGCGATAGTCATATAACCTAAACGCATACACTATAGAGTAATACGAGCTAGCGTGGAATGGAGAAAAATTGTTGTAGTTTGAAACATGAAGTTGAAACATATGATAATATTAAAAATAAATAAAAATTTTTATCGTTTACTTTTATGATGACTAAAAGTAGAAACTATAACTGTAAAATCGCTGTCGCTTGTTAATTATTTCCGCACACGGTGAGCGTGTCGCACATGACTTAGTTTTAATCTAAGTTTACCTATTCTAACATTACAGAAATGTGTATTAAAACATTTTCCGTATATATTTCTATTGTCTGCCTAGAGAAAATTTTAATTTTATTGTAGTGTTTATATTCTTTTATCTGTGGTATAGATAATAACGTTTAAATTTAATGTGTATTTTATATGCAGTAGCACATTTATTATTTACAGCAACAATTACAAATTATAAGTCTAAAAAATAGAGATGTAAATCTATGAAATATCACTTACAACTACTACTAATATACGTATCTACTATAGCATAGATTTAAAACGACTCATGCCGCTAATGTGAAATACGGTGGGTGACTTCTGTTAACGCTGTGTTGGACTGATGTTTTATTTGTTGCTTTTCTCGAGCGTTAAATAATTTACCGACGGGAAAGAGAAAAAAGCGAATCGCAAGTGGATAGACGTCGTTATTTCCGGATGCGAAGCGAACGACTCGCTTTCGAGTTTCGTTGCTTTATGCGATTTGTGAAGTATTATTATTATTTTCCATAGGTCTTGTTCCAGCATGCAGTTTACCAGCGGACTTTTACATTTTTTAGTTATAGTGCTAAGGATAAAATCCTTTTAAATAAATTTGTAAACGTAACGTTATAACGTTCCAAATTGCGATGAACAAATATCTAACCAATCAAACCAGTTAATACTCACAAACGTCACACAGATAAAAAAAATATTGGTAATTCGACAATATTCAATCTTGACGTCGATATTTCATCAAGTGTACTTGTTTGATGTACATAATAGTGATCATATTATTATACAGTGCATTAGCCCATAATAATGTGCAGATTATATGTAAATACATCTTATATGTAAATTTTAATCTAATAATAAAATTGTAGGTGCCAGTCTCAGTTGGACCAAGAAGCCAAGCTTAATGATGTAATTACAACTTGATGCTGACTTAAGAAACGAATTTTCGATAAATTTGGATGAAAATTGGAAAACTTTGTCGTCAATATTCGTGACGTACTTTAAGAAAAATCATAATAACCTTTAATAGATTGATGTAATATAAGATTTTATATTTTGAAATAAATTGAGTTGGTACTCAATAAATCCAGTATTTTCTTATAATGAGCTTTGAAATGTAGAAACGAAGCAGGTTTTGAGTTCAAGTAAATGTCAGATTTGTTTATATCTATACATCGGAGAATATCAGTTATTGTATTGAAATCCTATATATTCAGCCATACCTACAAGAGCTAGTCTTTCTGAATAGAAAAGTTTTCATTCTTTTTTTCTATAAATATCTTCAAATAAATTAGAATTTGCAGATAAATTCTAATTTATTTGACAACACTGCATATATTTTAATTATAAAAAATATTTTTGGAACATTTTGAATTAGAATCTCTAAATAAACAACATTTTGAAATACTTTTGCGTTTTATTAGCCTTCATTACGAAGGGAATTTATGTTCAAATTTCTTAATACATTTAACATATTGAAATATAGCACTTTTTGTCGTACTAAATATTCATAAAAAGTTGTGGTTTCTGAGTTACTAAAAGACTAATATTTCTTTTTAATAAGAAGAGCTAAACTTATATATAAAATACCATTATTATTGAAAACCTATTATACTATTAACAATTTTGTTTTACAATATACATATATGGGTATATACTAAGTATTGCACATATATCTGATATTTTATTAAAATAAGAATAATAATATGGAACGCTAACTTATAAGTGGATTTCAAAGGCAATTTATCCCAAGTTAAGTGACCGCATATTTTCACAAGCGTGAGGAAATTTCAAACCGCGCAGACGGATTAAAGTCGTGAAAAAATCCTCTCTATGCATACGAATTTAGTCTATGTTACGTCGAATCTCGGTAATAACGGTTGTCGCGTACAAGCAGCAACAAAACGCAACACAAAAGGAGCGTTCTGATTGGAGCGCACACCCATCCAATTCAAATATGCAACGTAACGAAAAGACTTAAAAAATCAACCGACCGATCTAACGTACATTTTGTTCACTCCACCAAATTTGTAATAATAATAGTATATTTGCCATTAAATTCGAGACTATCAAGCGAAGTCTATCATTTCTACAACCCGTAATCTGCTGAAGACAACCTCACCGACCATCTGAGCATTCGAGCCGCATCATCACGTACCATTTGGACCTTCGAGCCGAACGATCAAGCAAGAACGAGCGATCTTACTGAGGACTTCATCAGATTACTCCACATCAAGACGTCTACATTATCAAAACTGAACCTTGGGCAGCAGCAACGCATAGTGGGAGACCTGGACAGACGAGACACCTCGCTGATCAACTCCGAGAATACAGCGCATATCGGTACGACCACCAGATATCCTATCCTACCCCTATCCTGTACTTGTGTTCATTATTGTGGTAAACATCTATTGCAGTGTCTGAGACGCAGTGAGTTACCAGTGTTGCACAACAGAGCAGTTTGCCGTCAGCTAGCATCTGCTTCTACTGTTTCATACGTGAGTACTCCACCTTTCACTGTCTACCAATATGAGTGAACAATCATCCACATTAAAGTCTCTTTCTAAGTCGCCCTGTAAAATATCAAATACAGGCGATGATAATACGAATCAGTCAATTCGTGATTTAGTTAAAAAGCGATCAATTATCAAAGGCCGGTTTACAAGATTTCAAAACTTTATCAATACATTTGAAGTAAATACAATTCTTTCTCGTCAGACAAAGGCAGATTTGCAGTTAAGAATCCAAAATGCTGCAAATCTGTTCTCTGAGTTTAACAACCTTCAGTCTAAATTAGAAGAACTAGTTTTAGAAGTAGATTTAGACGAACAAATCGAACAGAGAGGTCAGTTTGAAGACAGTTATTTCAACACACTGTCTCAAGCTGAATGTATGCTCAGTGGAGAAAATGACACATCATACTCTAAATCATGCCCCAATTCTAACGATTCCTTAAAATTTCCCGTTATTTCGGTACCTACCTTCACAGGCCTCAGCGATCAGTGGCTACAATATAGGGACATCTTCTTATCATTGGTACATAATAATACGAATATAAGTAGCATTCAAAAGTTTCACTATCTAAAATCATCGTTAAAAGGCACTGCAGCTATGGTTCTCGATTCGTTGGAATTTTCAGCTAATAATTATTCGGTGGCATGGGAACTACTCTTAAATCGGTTCAATAATAGTAGATTATTAATACATAACCACGTAAAGGCATTATTTACTCTTCAGACCGTGACTAAGGAGTCGCCAGATCAATTGCGATATTTAATCGACAATATTTTAAAAAATCTACGCGCATTAAAACTATTAGGCGAACCAGTCGATAGCTGGGATACACTAATTATATACATAATCGTATCTAAATTAGACAAAATATCTGAACGCGAATGGGAACAATATAAAATCACAGTTTTAAAACTTTCTGGTAACTCCGAATCGCGATTGACGGTAGATACATTATTAGCATTCCTAAAAGATCGGGCCGACATGTTAGAAACATTACTTGCGTCGCACAACAATTATAAACACGATTCAAATAACAAACAAATTTCAAACACGATAAAACACAACGTACATTGTAATGTTTCTACAAATCCACACGAAGCGATCTTGTTTATTCTGTGACAACGGTTATCATGCATTATATGCGTGTCAAACATTTATAAGCACTGATCTAGATTCTAGGCTAAAGTTCGTCAGTGAAAATAAATTATGCGACAACTGCTTGCGACCGGGGCATCGCCCGAATGAATGCAGGTTCGGTGGATGTAGGAACTGTAACAAAAAACATAACTCATTGATTCATAAAGATAGTGAAGTTTGCAATTTGTCACCGGTAAGCGAACGGAACACAGCTGCATTATCTATGCACTCTTCATTCACCGAGGCAGGGGAGCGCCCCGCAGCCGCCGTCATAGGTACCGATCTTAACATTAACGAGCATTCACGCTTATCTACGCACACTAATACATTATGCGCTCAGTATCCCTGTATGCAACCAGTTCTTTTATCGACAGCGTTAGTCGATGTTTATGACAAATATAATAATATTCACACCGTTCGCGCGCTTTTAGACTCGGGTAGCGAGCGATGTATTATGACGCAATCTTTATGCGATTTACTAAATTCACCAATTATACAGTCCACTCAAGAAATTCGTGGGGTTGGTAATTCGATAACACAATCGACAAAGATGTGTGATATTGAATTGAAATCCCGTATTAGCTCATACACTGCGTGCATTCGATGTATTGTATTGCCGCATTTAACATCTACGTTGCCAGCGATACCGAAACAATGCGCGCAGTTTCGTATCCCTGACAGTGTGCAACTAGCAGATCCGCACTTTTGTGAACCCCAGAATATAGATATTTTAATAGGCGCAGATAAATTCTGGGATTTATTAAGTAGTGGTAGAATGCGATTACCTAACGGTCCGTTTTTGCAAAATACACGACTAGGCTGGATTATATCGGGTTCTGTAGGTGTAAACACGCAGAATACCGGTCAAATCCAGTGTAATTTTACACACGTTACCGATACTCAATCACAACAATCTAGGGAGCTTGAGAAAGTCACTAAGTCATGTGATAACAAAAATAGACGCAAACTGATGACCAGCGAGAGTGCGAAAATCCTATCATTAAAACTACGATGCGAAATAATGATGGAAGGTTTTGCGTTCGCATTCCTCTCAAGTCATCACCACATGAATTAGGCGAATCATATCCTCAAACCCTAAACCGATTTTCAACGTTAAATAGGCGATCACAAAAACATGATAATCATAATTTTCTATACTGCAATTTTATTAATGAATGTATACAAGTGGGTCATATAACGCGTGTTAATTTGTATGGAACCCCAATTTATATAAAACAATTAATTTATAATATTAAGTATAATAATATTATGTCTAAAATATTAGGCTTGCGTAAAATTCCTCATGACAGTGAATTTATTTATAATAACCAATTTACAATTGATAAAAATAAAACTAGATGCACTATATTCTTATTATCTTTAAAATTATTGCCATTATATATAAAGATGCGTGAGTCATTACGCTGTCATTTTTATGATGCAGTACTCTGGTCTGACTCCACTATTATACTAGGGTGGTTACACATGTCACCAAGTATTTTACAAGCATTCGTTCAGAATACAATATCTGAGATTCACGAATTAACGAAGGATATACCATGGTTGCATGTTAGGGGTAAGAAAACCCCGGCGGATTTAGTGTCACACGAACAGTTAAATGCTACTTATCCATTTATAACCTATGGTGTCAATTATGTGGTGTTTACATTGAATCGTAAAGGAATGGGCGCTAAATCCGTTAAGTCATATAAATATAAAAACAAATGTTTTCGTGCATGTTTCATGACACGCACAGTACTTTTGAAACTTGCAATCGATCTATCCACTGAAGCATACATTATCGTTTTGAAACAATCTGTTTTGCATCATGGTAAACCGCCTAAAATAATTATTCAACTTAATAAAATCAAATTTTCACATGTGCTACAAACAAATTTTCCAAATTATTATCTAATTATTGTAAGACATATAAGTCAATCTAGTTTATTTATTCTCCTCATTTGGTGGGCTTTTGAATGGTGGAATATGCACAAATTATTTTGCGCATGGTGTAGGTAACGGTCCTAAATTCTCTACCACTTTCCACAATGATACCCTATCCTAATAACCTTCAACCCTTAAGTCCTGCACACTCCCTGGTTGGTCGTCCGCTTACAGCACTAGTATGTCAGGACATGAGGACTGATACAGGGAATTACTCTATCATGATCAAGGAGTTGAGCAGATTTGTCATCAACTTTCGTTGAGATGGGGACGAAAATAAATGTCGGAGCAGCAAACAAGCGAAGACTCAACCGCAGTTCACATTGGAACCACTCAAGAGCTTCCAAGGCCGGGGGCATGTCGCGTACAAGCAGCAACAAAACGCAACACAAAAGGAGCGTTCTGATTGGAGCGCACACCCATCCAATTCAAATATGCAACGTAACGAAAAGACTTAAAAAATCAACCGACCGATCTAACGTACATTTTGTTCACTCCACCAAATTTGTAATAAATAGTATATTTGCCATTAAATTCGAGACTATCAAGCGAAGTCTATCATTTCTACATCCCGTAATCTGCTGAAGACAACCTCACCGACCATCTGAGCATTCGAGCCGCATCATCACGTACCACGGTTTATTAGGTGATATAAGCTAAGATTATTAATTGGTTATACTTATAACATGACACGGTGATCGTTTGTTAAGGACTTTATAATATTGTATTCTTTTTTTAGTAAAAGGGTAACCTTTTTGATAGAATTTATCACATACATTACATTTGTTCAGTCGTTTACCCGTGAAAAGATAACAAAAAGATACAATCACACTTTTGTATTTATAATATTAGTATGCATCCTAATAACACTGTTTACTAATCTAGTATTTAATATGTATCCATAAACATGTAATTTTAGAATTGTTTTGGATTCATATCTATGTATATCGATTTTACCTACTATACCAGTAGGTTATATTCCAAAGCAACGTCAGCAAAATGTAAAGCCTTCATCAAACAAAGCTTCTGACCTTACAATTGTTCCACCCACGATAGTGTTGCCACATGAACTTCGGGATAATATCGAGGAAATTAATATTTATGCTTTTCTATAAAACCTATGCATTTTCTTTCATTTCTGTAAACATCGTGCATATGTCAATCTAATGTGAAATCCGTGGTCTACAGTTCATGTTTATAAATGAGGTTACCACTTCCCATAAGGCGTACTGCCCGTGTTATTGTCATTCTGGAAATATATATAGAAAATTGGTCCGAAAAGACAAATAAGTCTGAGCGAATTGGTAGATTAAAAGAATCACGAGGATGTTTAAAAAAATAATTGGAAATAGGAGCTGAAAGTTTTTGCAGACAAAGTTGCGGGTAACTACTAGTTACTCATAAATACATACACACAACTAAGAAAATATACTAATCAATGTTTATTGCATTCCATAATGTTTGCAGTGAAAGATGTCAATTATTGGTAAATTTAAAACAATATTGACCCTGTTATTTTATATAACGTATTTTTACACTATATATATTTTTTAAATATATAATTGATATAATACTTTCAAAAATATATATTTAAATAAATATTACAATTCAATCACAGGCAACTTTCTTCTTGCGAACTGTTTTAACGCAGTATATAAATTATATAGGTATATATATATTTATAGGTATCGATATTTAAAAAATAAATACCACACTGAACACTTTTGTACGTCTAACTCGCTGCATATGATGGGAGAACGTGCACAACCAGCATAATGTAGGTACATAATAAGCTACCATAGAGCACATTGTTATAGAGTACATTATGTAATGGCAATTAGATATTCTTTTTTCATGTACAAACGGCTTTTAGAAAATTACTCTCACATATTCTTCTAATTTTACCATAACATTATTTAACAGTGAAATGGTTTCAATAAAGAAGCGAGATCGTGCGTATATGTTGTTTACAAAATAAACACATAGAACGATTATATATAAGGTACATTTAAAAATCTATTGGAATTAAGAATATTAAGTGATCTTTGTGATTTTTTTATAGTCTATAATTTTTGTTTGTGCTTTAAGGACCTCGGTAATTTAGCTTAGGACAGCACCTTTATTTCGATGATCGCAGGTTCGATTCCTCGCACGGTACAAACATTTGCGTTTATCAGTATGATTATAATTTGTTTTGTCGGTGTATTTTCTATGTCCATTAAAAAAATTATTTATCTATGTATTTATATTAGTTCTTTAGTACCTATAATACAAGCTCTACTTAGCTTGGGTGTGTAAATTGTCCTGAAAGAAAAAACTGTAATCATATTCACACAATATTTTTAATCATAGAAATGTTCAAAGAAATAAATATGTATTTACACACGGGAAGGAACCTAGTTTCTCTGTATTGCTTAAAAGCTGATTACCACTAATGAACTAAATTATTTATTCATTACATTAAATTAAGTCTCGCTTTGTAAATAGCATTTCAATTAAATAATCTATATAAGTACAGATTAAATTAATGATTAATATGTATAATAATTAATAATAACTACCTAATTTTAGGATAGATACTAATTTATCAGTCTTAATTACATTGATCGTAGTGCGTTGTGGCCTAATATTTAAGTATTACGCCTTATACCAAAAAATTCGTGTCTTAAAATATAGCCAACAAAAAAAATTGTGTCTAAAATAAAACAGTCATATTTGGGAGACTCGTTAGAGTTAGAATATCCTTTTGCCATGTTGGAGAAAAGTATGGAGGGTACATAGTGAAATGTCACCTAGATGTCAACATTCACCCGACTATGCCATCTGCGATATCAGTTCTGAAGATCTATAATTATCATTTATATGCATCCATATCATTATATGTCTATCTGAATGTGTCGATATTAATATAAATAGCTACCTAAAAGAGAGAAATGACTGTGGTGAAGCCATCGTTTATTACCCTGTAACGACATGTTCCACTTTATTAGGAGACTTAGACATTTAGATAGATGTTACGGTTAACAATACCTTTCAAGAAGTTTTGAGTGTGTACATATGTTAGAAATGTATATATGAAACAAAAGTATCGTTTCCATATCTATAATAGTTTCAAAACTTTAAGAATTTTTACGTCATAAATATATTAACATAATCTATTTTTTTAAAATATACCTACTCATTTCTGAAATCATATTACACACACATTGGTTTTTGTGGTCTAACGTTTTACTATACCACCAACAATCGTTACGAAATACAATCGTCGATTCTCGTAGGATACAAGTATTTCTAATAGTGAATAAGATTGTTTGTCTGGATGTTTTGTATATGTATTATTTATGTTTTTACAAAACAAAATTTAAGTCTTTCTATCAATTTTTCACTGTAGTACAAGTTCAGTATGGGTCTATATGAATATATAGGTCTGTATGAATTAGCCTGGGATATATAGCAGTTTTACTGTTATAGTGTGCATTTTATTTTTATTATAATATTGTTTATAATGATGTTACATTTTTGAATATTTCTGTGGAGTTTAAAACTTTGTTTAGATTTTAAGTGAATAGGTAGGTAAATGTAGTGACTAATTGGTCTGGCATCCCTCAAGTTAAATAGAACCGACGCCGTCAGTTTCATCAATACTGTGAACATCAAGAGTAATTTACTGTGCGTAGGTACATACTTAATTCCACTCTCTATTTACAGATTTACAGTTTTTACTGAGGTACGTACATATATTGCGTTTACATACATATATATGTATATGTATATATATAGATAGTGATTTCTTTCAGAACACTTTTAAGGAATGTACTGTAATAGATATTGTAGATAGGTCACCGAATTATATATTAAACAGCTATGTATTGTTATAGGATTTAGAGTTTTGTAGTAAACGGACATTCATTCTTCGAATTATTTTATTTAATGACCTATATATAAAAATAAGTAAAACTTTTCCCATAATATTTAAATTTTCTGGTTTTCTTATTGGATTGAATAAAAATATAAAATCAATACAGGCACGGTAATGATTGCGGAATCCGTTTTTTTATATATTACTAATTTATTTTATGAACATCTTCGTGAATATTATAAGAAGGAAAAATCTCTAAATAAAAATGGAAT